TCCTCTCTGTCCAAAGATTTTCTTAAAACGAGCTCAACCAGTTTATTCTCATCGTTCTTTGAATTCACTTCTAGTATGAAGAAATCGTGAGAGCTTAGTCTGTATGTCAACACGGAGTTAGCTCCAATATCTGCATCGGACGCGCCCTCTAGAGGAAACCGAGAATCTGGCATTCGGGATTCTGAAATAAACAGCTTTTGTTCTTTTACCGGGAACACTGGCGGATTGTCATTAATGTCTTTCACCTCCACGTCCACATGGAAAACCTGCAGCGGCCTGTCCACGATCACCTCCAGGTGGATGCTGCACTCCGCGCTCCGCCCGCACAGCTCCTCGCGGTCGATCCGAGAATTCACAAACAAAATGCCATTCTGCAGATTTACCTCCAGAAGGTCCCCGTGTGCTTTGGACGCCACCCGGAACAGACGCGGCACCAGCTCCGCCAGCTCCAGCCCCAGGTCCTGCGCGATGCGGCCCACGAAGGTGCCGTGTTTGGCCTCCTCGGAGACGGAGTAGTGGAGCTGACCGCTCCCCACCTTCCAGGCTGCGAGGAGCAGAAGCGAGAGTAGTAGTCGCCAGGATCTCAGGTCTCCTCGCCAGTGATAAACCATGTTAAATAGTCGTTTCCTGTCAGAAAATCTTATCTTAATATAGAGACGAACGATTATACTTTCCAGAGTCTTTTAATCCAATTCCGCTGCATCTGCCATTGTTCGGCCTTTAGACAGATGCTCTCAGAGGAACGACTTTGAACCTTGGTTAAACGGAACTTCTTGGTAGACAGCGACATCATGTGGCTTCAAAAGGTAATGATTACATGAATTACTTCAGCAATAGTTGGGTTCTTTTATGCACTTTGTTATTTCTTTATCATACTTTAATAGTAAATCCTTAACTTTATCTACTGCAGAGGCATTCATGCCGTCCGGCTCCTTACATTAGTATCAACTTGAATTTCTTTCTTCATAAGGAAAGGAGTTTCTTCCTAATGTTTTAAATATTGTATCAATTAAAAATACATTTAAGTATGACCTGTATGTCATCGATATCAGAAATGTAAACTATCCTCCATAGTTTCGTGTGGAAGAAATGCATTAATATTTACTTGGTCGCCAGAAACACTGGTATATATTACTCTGAGGTGAGCATATAATTCTAACTTTTCTATATTTTATCTTCTTGTGGATTATTGTTAAATTTCTGCTTTTCTTTATTCAATAAATGTCAAATTACCTATACAGTTTTATTTACTGATGTAATATAAATATGTGCATATTCTTTACACTATTTCTCGATATCTCTATAGGTTGTTAAATTAAGCCTCTCACTTAAAACATTTTCCTTTATGATTTCTCTGACATGCCAAACTCTAGTAGTATTTCCACTATTGGCTTGTTTGTTAGTTCTTCATCTTTCTTCTGCTCCAAAATGTGGATACTTTCCAGCTATATGCCTTCAATCTTTTTTCCCCAATCTTTTTGTTTAATGTTTCTATTTCCAGGGCTTCAAACTAGCCTGTTACTTGAAGTATTCTTAACACCATATCTACAACCCTCATTTCCTTTCTACCTGACATTTTTACCTGTATATCCTGACATTGCCTAGAAAATGAGCTGACCAAAATTAAAAGAATATCTGATCAACAGTCACGCAAAATCCAAATAATTAAAAACTCACAATTTTTATAGCATGGCCATTCTCCACACTTAATCATATGCATTTTTGTGACTTCTTCTCGCTTGCCTACCATACTCAAAGTTTGTATACATCCAATCTCTCCTTTCATGTGTGATAAATTTTGCCTTTATTAATACAGCTTTTCCACCAGATTGCACTAAAATCTTCAGCAAGTTCATCTTTCTCTTGACCAATTGTCAAGACATTAGACTTCCATCTGGGAGATAGGCTATGTGATGATGAGCTAATCTCCTCGGTGCTAAGGTTAACCACTTTCCAATATGAGTCATATTTTATAGGAAAGATGTTGTCTCATTCTTGGTACATTCTTTATTCAAAGTTTTTCTTCTATTCCTTCATCTTTATCTGTCAAAATTCTATTCATCTTTCAAAGTCCACCTCAAAAGTAAATTCCCCATGGATTCATCATGAATGCCTTCATTGTAGGTGATTAAGAGCTCCTCTAAATTTCTACAGAATTGTTATCCAAAAAAAATTAGGTAAAACAGGAAAGGTGAATAACGGCATTTTCTGTGAAATGCTTTAAATTTTTTCTCACATTATTTACATGAAGACTATCTTTGTAGTTGATTCTAAATACTAGCCATTTGTAAAGAAAACAGCACTACTCAATGTCTCAGGAGTTTGAGACAAGCCTGGGCAACATGGTAAGATCCCATCTCTACCAAAAAAAAAAAAAAATACAAAAATTAGCTGGGCATGGTTTTGTATGCCTATAGTCCCAGAAACTTGGGAGGCTGCCATAAAAAGATCATTTGAAACCAGGAGGCAGAGGTTGCAGTGAGCCCAGATTGTGCCACTGCACTGCAGCCTGGGCTACAGAGTGAGACCCTGTCTCAATAACAACAGCAATAATAATAATAATTGGTGAATACAGTTTGGGTGGCTAAGGAGGATCCTCTATCAACTTCAAATATTTCCCAAAATAAATAGAATATTTAAAACTTTCTTAATAATATGCTAGGAAGGTTTTAAATACATATATAAGTAAGCATAAAAGGAAAATAACAAAGCAATAAAAACAGAATTACAATTACCATCTTGAAAGTCAAAGATATTTATAGATATTTCCTCAAAAGTGAATATTCTTTCAACGGGAGAAGCAAACTTGGTCTGCTTATGGTTGACATACTACTGCTCAATGGTAAATAATTCTATTGATTAGCAAACAGGTTTTTGACTTTGTAGTGCCTCTACTCTTATTCACATTGGAAACAGTAACATATCCTAAAATAATTTCCTGAAGTGTGTTAGAATATTATGAACAGTGAAAATTGACCATCAGTTCTGAGTTTTTATTTTACTTTATTTTATTTTTGAGGTATGGTCTTGCTCTGTCACCTAGGCTGGAGTTCAGCGGCATGATAACTGCAGATTGGACCTCCCTGGCTCAACTGATGCTCCCACCTCAGCCTCCTGAGTGGCTGAAACTATAGACATGCACCATCATGCACAGCTAATTTTTTATATTTTTTTCTAGAGACAGAGTCTCTACAAAAGATACACAGGCTGGTGTCAAACTCCTAGACTCAGGCAATGCTCCTGCCTCAGGCTCCTGAAATGCTGGGAGTAGAGATGTTTGTCACCACACCCAGTTAACTATCATTTTTTTAACCAATCAAAGTATTTGTAAAAAATTTTAAGAGTCTGGATGATTCAGTTATTGTTTCATTAATGTTCATAATACAGAACTGGGTGAATAAATAATGATATATCTATACGACAAAGTAAGATGCAAATACTTTTTTTTTTTTTTTGAGACGGAGTTTCGCTCTTGTTACCCAGGCTGGAGTGCAATGGCGCGATCTCGGCTCACCGCAACCTCCGCCTCCTGGGTTCAGGCAATTCTCCTGTCTCAGCCTCCTGAGTAGCTGGGATTACAGGCACGTGCCACCATGCCCAGCTAATTTTTTGTATTTTTAGTAGAGACGGGGTTTCACCATGTTGACCAGGATGGTCTCGATCTCTCGACCTCGTGATCCACCTGCCTCGGCCTCCCAGAGTGCTGGGATTACAGGCTTGAGCCACGGCGCCCGGCCGCAAATACTTTTTAAAATAAAAAAGTAAATCATCAAAAAGGAGTAAGCTCTAGTGAAAAAATATGACACAAAACCCAATATACAATTTAGGCCGGAGGCTATGGTTCATGCCTGTAATCCCAGCACTTTGGGAGGCCAAGACAGGCAGATCCCTTGAGCTCAAGTTTGAGACCAGCTGGGGCAACATGGTGAAACTCTGTCTCTACTAAAAATACAAAAAGAAATTAGCCCAGCATGTTGGCCAGTGTCTGTAATCCCAGCTACTTTGGAGACTGAGGCATGACAATAGCTTGAACCTGAGAAGCAGAGATTGCAGTGAGCCAATATCGCACCATTGCACTCCAGCATTGGTGACACAGTGAAACTCTTCTCAAAAAATAGAAAATTTTATATATATATATAATTTAAAGTGGAAAAGCAAAAAATGCAGAAGGGTAGGTTTCTACTGTAATCACTTCTTTTTAAAAAGAAAAAATGGAAAGACAAATGGCAGGCTGAGTGTGATTGCTCATGTCTGTAATCACAACACTTTGGGAGGCCAAGGTAGGAGGATCGCTTAAAGCCAGGAGTTCAAGACCAACCTGGAAAACAAGACTCTATCCCTTGCTACAAAAAAAATAAAATAAAATTAGCCAGGCACGATGACACACAGACAGTATTCACAGCTACTCCAGAGGCTGAGGTGGGAGGATCCTGTGAGCCCAGGACTTCCAAGTTCCAGTGACCTATAATCCTGCCACTGCATTTCAGCATCCTAGATGATGAAGTGAGACCCTGTCTCAAAAAAAGAAAGGAAAGGAGAGGAGAGAAAGAAGTGGCAAATTCTAAAAAATGTATATAGGCTATTTACAATTTGGCGATTGTAAATATATACATATATTTATAATTTGGCAATAATTTTGGAATATATTTTAAAAAACTAAAACTGATTCAGAAATTCAGAAAGGTAAAGTGAATGGTTTGGGTTTGGAGGAGGCAAGGAGATTTTTCTCTATGTATTAGATTTGACTCTTTGAAATTTTGAACGTGAATATATTTCTTATACCAACAAGGAACAAAATAAAAAATACTATTAAACTGCCATTTAAACTGTTTTTAAATTGTTCATATTAATTCATCAAAAGCATGGCAAATACTTTTCAACGAAATTAAAAAGAAGTCAGTAGTAAACAAATATGATAAAAAGAAGATAAATTGATGTAAAAGAAATTTTTTAAATTCAAGTTCTAAACTACAAAGAGGCAAAATTTAACAGAGGATTTTGACACATGTATATTTTATAAAATGACAATACATAGAATAAATACTAGGTAAAATATATATTAAAATTTGTTTACTATAGCATTTATAAATATTGACTATCAAAATATGAATATGTAAATATTTAATTATGTAAATACGCTACAGAAGAAAGGTGAATCCATTGTTCCAGTTAGCGAAGTCCTCCTCCAAAAATAGAGTAATCAACATAAACCATAGATTTTGATCTACAATATTACATATCCCAAAACAAAAGTATATATTAAATGTAATTCCAAATAATTAATGCAAATACAGTATAACACTAAAAACTAATTATATATAAAGCTATCAACTAAAAAAGAAATTATGAAAGAAAATTTAAGGAGACAAATTGAACTAATTATTTTTAAATTGTTGGAAACAAGATAATTTATAACTCACACTGTCTGTAGAGGAGGGACCCTGAGGAAGGCTTGGACTGAAGGCCATGAGGTCGGTCTTGTGTGGGCCCTCCCCAGAGCACACTCTCTGCCGCCTCTGGTGTGAGAATGACCAACTCCCCACTGCGCTGGAGCACACCAGAGTAGGCTTTACCAGACCACAGGCGCCCTCGGAGGACGGCGCTGAGCACCGCAGCGCAGTGTACAGCAGCAGGATAAGCACCAACAGACTGGACACGGCGCAGATGGCGATGATCAGATAGACGTTGACATCCAACAGTGTGGTCTCTGGGCCTGCAACGCCCACCGATGCCAGCGACGATGCCTTTGGCGCCTGGCCACTTTCCACCAGCGACACCAGCACGGTGGCTGTGGCTGTCAGCGAGGGCTCCCCGTGGTCCTTTACCAGAACCCGAAGGTGGTGGCGAGGTGCATCTGTCTCGTCTAGGGCTCGTGTCGTGCTGATCTCGCCAGTATATAGCCCCACGCGGAACGGGATGCGTATGCCGGCGGACACCGGTTGCAATTCGAACGAAAGCCACGCGTTGTAGCCTGAGTCTGCGTCAACTGCGCGTACCTTCGCCACCACATGACCGGTGCCCACAGACCGCGGCACGAGCTCGCTCACAGCACCACCAGTGCCACCCACTCGAGGCGCCAGCAGCGCCGGCGCGTTATCGTTCTCATCCAGCACGAAAACCTGCAGTGTCACGTTGCTGCTCAGAGGCGGCACCCCCGCGTCGCGCGCGCTCACCTGGAACTGCAGCAGCTCCAGCTCCTCGTGGTCCAGCGGCTGCAGCGCGTACACCTTGCCGCTCTCCGCGTGCACCGACACGTAGCTCGACAGCGCGCGATCGCCCACCCGCCGCTCCACCAGCGAGTAGGACACCAGCGCGTTCTCCTGCGCGTCCGCGTCCTGCGCGGACACAGTGAAGATGTGGCAGCCCGGCGGGTTGTTCTCTTTCACGAACACCGTGTACTCGGGCTGCGCGAACACCGGCGCGTTGTCGTTCACGTCGGCCACCTCCACGGACACGCTGGCCGTGGCCCACAGCGAAGGCGAGCCCCCGTCCCGCGCGGTCACCACCAGCTCATAGGCCGACACGCTCTCGCGGTCCAGGGCGCTGTCCAGCACCAATGAGTAGTAATTCTTGAAGGTGGACACCAGCTTGAAGGGGACGTGTGGCGTCAGGGAGCAGGTAACCTGTCCGTTTACTCCAAAATCTTGGTCAAACACGCTAATCAATGTGATGACTGTACCTGGCTGGGCGTCCTCTGAGATAGGGAGAGACAGGGAAGTGAGAGTCAACTGTGGAGCATTGTCATTAACATCCACAACTTCCACAAGAACTGTACAATGACCAGCCAGTGGTGGGAAACCTTTATCGACAGCCTCTACTGGGATCTTGTGTGCCCTGCTTTCTTCAAAATCCATATGTCCTATCACTGTGATTGCCCCACTTACGGGGTCCATGTGGAACTTGGATTTTATATCTGGTGAAACATCACTGGAGAAGGAGTAAATAATGTCCCCATTCAAGCCTTCGTCTAAATCTGAGGCATTGGGGTTAATCACCAGCGTTCCGATAGAAACGTTTTCTGGTAATTTCACCGTATAGAGGGTTCTGTCGAACACTGGGGCATTGTCATTGACGTCCAGTACCGTGACGAGTAACTGAACGGTGCCAGTCAGTTCAGGCTTGCCTCCGTCGGTGGCCGTAAGCAATAAATGAAGCTCCGGAGTTTCTTCTCTGTCTAGAGGTTTCCGTAATACAAGTCCAAGAGGTTTTACCTGCTGGTTACTGGTTGGCACGTCCAGAGAGAAATATTCATTGGGGCTCAGTCTGTAAGAGAGCTGGGCGTTCTCCCCGATGTCTGCGTCGGACGCGCCCTCTAGTGGAAACCGAGAGTCAATCGGCCTGGATTCCGCGATGATCAGATTCTTTTGTGTTGCTGGGAACAAGGGCGGGTTGTCGTTAATGTCCCTCACCTCCACGTCCACATGGAAAACCTGCAGCGGCCTGTCCACGATCACCTCCAGGTGGATGCTGCACTCCGCGCTCCGCCCGCACAGCTCCTCGCGGTCGATCCGAGAATTCACAAACAAAATGCCATTCTGCAGATTTACCTCCAGAAGGTCCCCACGGAATTTGCACACCACCCGGAACAGACGCGGCACCAGCTCCGCCAGCTCCAGCCCCAAGTCCTGCGCGATGCGGCCCACGAAGGTGCCGTGTTTAGCCTCCTCCGGAACCGAGTAATGGAGCTGACCTCTTCCCGCCTCCCAAGCTGCTAGAATTATAATAAACAGCAGTAGATGTCGGCCTCCTGGGTCGTATCCACTCGGGAACACCATTTCAAATTACTGGCGTCTTTTTCTAGTCAGCAAAGCTTGCCTCCGAATGTATAGGAATATTTTTATCTCTTCATTTCAATCTCGATGTGTGGCCATTGTTGTGCATCCAAAGAGTGAAAGAGAGTGGAGCGTCTTTCCAGTGTGAAAAGGAATGACTTCCTTTTGTTGATTATGAAAGAATTTGCGGTAAAGAGCGACATCATGTGGCCCAAATAGTAAGTAGGAATTACAAACTATTAATCGGATGAAAGGTTTTATTTCAAACTCTAAATTTTTTTCTTCATTGTTGTTAAAGGTTAAAATAGCATTTTGCATGCTTGTCAGAGGCATTCTTAGGTGACTGATGATTTTTTAATATTTAGTGTGACCATAACTGTAGCTTCCTCATGCCTTAAACTTTTTTTTTATACAGTTTTAAATAAAGTTAGAAACCTAAGTGACAAAATGAATCTGAACAACTGCCAGTTTAAATTCATTTGATCTAGATCCCAGGAAACTTCATATTCTTGATTCAATGTCCCTTGTTAAGAACAATCCTGTACTTTTGCGGACCCAGGATCTCAAGAATCTACTGATTGATGAAAGAGAAACTTAGAAAGATGTGTGTGTGTGTGTGTGTGTGTGTGTGTGTGTGTGTGTTCTTTAACTATCCAGATTCTTTTCTTGGGAAAACAAAACAAGAGAAGTTTGGGGGGAATCTTTGAAGGGGAAGAATTTGTATCATGTCAACTTTTTGAGTAGGAAGTATTCTGAATTTTTCCCTATAGCAGAATCTATATTATATTGTTTAAGGAATTCATGATTTTATATTTGTTTCCTCATTCTATCCTTTTGAACACTTTTGCATTTTTACAAGCAAGTGTTTTTACAATCTCTTTGAATACAAACCTGTTTTTACAATCTCAAATATGATTTATATTATTTCTTTTATAATATGTTTATTTTATTAGATAAATTTCAGTGCTCACCCATCATACATAGAGCAGCCCTTTGATCAAGTCTTCAGGTATTTCATCCTTTTTTGGATCTACTTTACAGCATTAGTTTTCTTGAATGTTTCACTCCAATGTTCCCAATGGCATGTAAAATAATTATGTTTGTATTCAGATGCTGTCCTAAATAAGTTTTTATAATTGCTGCTCTCCTGGAGTATTGCAGTATCTTATTTTGTGATTTGTCCATTCTAATTTCATTCATCCTTCATTTAATCCTTGCGGTCGCCTTCCTGAAACACTTTTTATTCCTATTGCTTCACACTTCTTGACAGCCTTCAAATGACTTTTAAAGAGTGTCAAAATTACTTGTCTAGTACTCAAGGTTACCTTAAAGGTTTTTCTCATATGGTCTTGCTTTATCTCACACTCTCTCTTATAGGAACCATGTGCTTTACCCAAAGTGGACTATTTCTTATTTCTAGGTACATTTGGAATTTTCTGTGTACTCATTTACTTAAATTAGTCTCTTCTCAAGAATATCGATTAGTCTCCATCTTCTCCGAGGGAAAACTCTTTCTGTTTTACAACCAGTTAAACATCATCACTTTTCACAGGCTCCTTCAACAAGTGGAAAAGGCCAAGATTTTTTTTCAATTCCAGTCACCCTGTGACGTACCTTTCTAGCACCTCTCACAATATTCTTCCTTTTACTATCATTGTATTTATGTAGGATACTTATCTTTATTTATCTACTAAATTTGAGCCAAGGACTGGGTCTTGTTAATTCGATGGTCCTTAGCAGGCACAGTGTGATACTCTTAGAGGCCCTCCTAGAAATTTTTTTAAAAAATTTACTCACTAGCAATGCTATAGTTCTCTACTTCCCAAGAAAGTATGCTGTTTTGAGATGTTAGATATCATTATCTACACCAATGGTGCTCTTTAGTATAATCATAGACAATTTTGCCAATCTTAAGTATGAAGAGGAAGTTTTATTTTTAATTTTAGTGCAATATTAATTATAATGCTTAAAGATTATCATGTACTTCTTTTTAAAAAACACAAAACACTACTAATGGTTTCTGCCATTTCAAGAATGGAAAATGCACACATTAGGGAATACACACTGCAACTCAGTCTCCTAAAGGCCCTTGAGCAACTTTTAATGTGGACAAATACACCATTCAAGCTTGTAGTAGTCTCATATTTCCTGGGAATACGGACAACACAAAAAGGTAAAACCACCTTCAGGAAATCACAGAGGACTCAGCAAGTTAAATGTCTTTTGAATCCATAAAACTTTTCCACTGTTAAAGTCTTAATTCAATTTTCAACTTTGAAGCACTCATTTTAAATTACTTTTAATGTAGCACATTGCATTCAAAATGTTAGCGACATCTCGGATTAATTTTATAATTATGGACTCACTGTGAATAATAAAAATTTATATTTACATAAAATAAAAACAATACGGAATCCATAATGAGAGTTTTCTAATATAAAATGACATAAAGTTTTTCTTTCCCTCTTCAGAAAACTAGTGGCAAATTTTATTAAGCACTTACTAGTTGGCAATCATGGCTATAACCACCTTACAATATCAACTTACTAAAACTTTATGACAATTCTATCATTGAAACTATTGTTTGTCATTCCAACTTTACAGGAGAAACTAAAATGGAACATGAAACAATCCATCCACAAAACAAAATTGGTAGTGGTGGAATTTAGGCAAGGAGGGATAGCACCAAAACTCCCAATCACTACTTTTTGCTGCTTTCCATTTAAAGAAATAATGAATAGCCAGAAATTGTGGTTCACACCTATAATCCTAGTACTTTGGGAGGCCAAGGCAGGCAGATCCCCGGCACTCAGGAATTTGAGGCCAACCTGGGCAACATGGAGAAACCCCATCTCTACAAAAAAGGTGGGCTGCACGGTGGTGCTCAAGTGCAGTCCCAGCTACTCTGGAGGCTGAGGTGGGAGAATTGTTTGAGCCCAAGAATTTGAGGATGCAGTGAGTCATGATTGCACCACTGCACTCCAGTCTGGGTGAAAGAGCAAAACCCTGTCTGTTACACACACACACACACACACACACACACACAGAGTAGTTTAAATTACTGTACAGAAACAATGAAAACATTAACACAAAAAAATAGATTTAGACTCCATGAAGAGAAGCCCATCAAATGAAATTTGATCAGAAATAAGAGAGCTGCAATGCCAGAGGAATGCAGTTTTCATATAAATTTACTTGATCACAAGGTCCAAATTCTCTTGAATCATCATTTTCCCAGTATTTAGGTTGGTAGTAAGTCAATCAATAACCATAAGTCGAATAGATTTATTAAAGAGTTCAAAATCTCCCTATTCACTTCTTCATCCCAATCAGAAGTATTCAGGCTAAAAACTATTGGTTTTGTCCTTTATTCCTCAATAGTTTAAAAGAGGGACAATAAATAAACACTATTGTCTCCTGGAATCACGAGTCTAAAAAGGGAACCACAGATAAACAGATATGATGATTAGAGTTCTTACACAAAATGGATAGAATCAAAGTGTTAGCTTAATAAAAGTCTCAGCAGAAAAAAACATTGAAACAGAAAGCATAATGACAAGTGATACAGTGGTGCTCGAATTTCAATATATTATCAAAAAAAGAGTATGTGAAAAAAATATCCTAAAGCTCAAAGGCAAATGAAAATCCTATATAATTAATCAGAAAAAAATACTACTATGAATCTGAATTAAAATGCAACAGAAAAGGATGTATCCAAGAATATATTCTGAGTTTGAAGACAAATTCTGAGGGGCAGATTGCAGACAGCAATCGCTAATTTCACTTAAATTATAAATATTAGAGAAGCAAAGAGATTATAATAAAAAACAGAATGACATGAAAACATGTGAATATTGTAAAATTAGTTAAAAATTAAAAACAAATATGAGGAAAACAATTATAAAATTTAAATTAAAAAATTAACTGTTAATTATGAAAATTCACTTACTTTGACATCATGCTCTTCATTTAATTCCTGATTCTCCGCCCTTAAATCCTGATTCTCCGTCCTACCCATCACAACAGGACAAGGTGAAAGGCTGGGGCTGAAGGCCATGAGATCCATCTTGGGTGGGCCCTCTCCAGAGCACACCCTCTGCCGCCTCTGCTGCGAGTACGACCAGCTCCCCACCGCGCTGGAGCACACTAGCGTGGGCTTGCCCACTACACACGCGCCCTCAGTGGGCGGTGCTGAGAACCGCAGCACGGTGTACAGCACCAGCGTGAGCACCAGCAGGCTGGATACTGCGCAGATGGCGATGATCAGGTACACGTTGACATCCACCAGCGCCGCCTCCGGGCCCGTGGCGCTCACCGACGCCCGCGATGACGCCTTTGGAGCCTGGCCACCATCCACGAGCGACACTAGCACCGTGGCCGTGACTGTCAGCGCCGGCTTACCGTGATCCTTCACCAGTACCAGCAGGCGGTGGCGCGGAGAGTCCGACTCATCCAGGACACGAGTCGTGCTGATCTCGCCCGTGTACAGCCCCACGCGAAACGGGATGCGTGCGCTGCTTGCCGCTGGCTGTAGCTCATACGAAAGCCACGCATTGTAGCCGGAGTCAGCGTCCACTGCGCGCACCTTTGCCACCACGTGACCCGCACCCACCGACCGCGGCACCAGCTCGCTCACTGCGCCGCCGGTACCACCCACTCGAGGCGCCAGCAGCGCCGGCGCGTTATCGTTCTCGTCCAGCACGAACACCTGCAGCGTCACGTTGCTGCCCAGAGGCGGCACCCCCGCGTCGCGCGCGCTCACCTGGAACTGCAGCAGCTCCAGCTCCTCGTGGTCCAGCGGCTGCAGCGCGTACACCTTGCCGCTCTCCGCGTGCACCGACACGTAGCTCGACAGCGCGCGATCGCCCACCCGCCGCTCCACCAGCGAGTAGGACACCAGCGCGTTCTCCTGCGCGTCCGCGTCCCGCGCCGACACTGTGAAGATGTGGCAGCCCGGCGGGTTGTTCTCTTTCACGAACACCGTGTACTCGGGCTGCGCGAACACTGGCGCGTTGTCGTTCACGTCGGCCACCTCCACGGACACGCTGGCCGTGGCCCACAGCGAAGGGGAGCCCCCGTCCCGCGCGGTCACCACCAGCTCATAAATAGACACTGTCTCCCGGTCCAGGTCGCTGTCCAGCACCAACGAGTAGTAATTCTTGAAGGTGGACACCAGCTTGAAGGGGACGTGGGGTGTCAGGGAGCAGGTCACCTGCCCGTTGGCACCTGAATCGAGGTCGTTCACGCTTATTAGGGCGATGACAGTACCGAATTGAGCGTCTTCACGTACCGGCAAGGATAAGGAAGTCAATGCGATCTCAGGGACTGTTATCGTTTTTATCCAAAACTCTCACTAAAACGGTGCAATGACCCGCCATGGGAGGGTGGCCTTTGTCTGTCGCGTCAATGCGAATTTTGTATAAATTTACTTGTTCAAAATCCAAATTACCCCGAATCACTATTTCTCCCGTATTTGGATCGATGCTAAACTGGTCAACAACCATGGTGGGAACAAGGCTATTAAAAGAGTATGAAATTGCCCCATTCGCTCCTTCATCCCGATCAGAAGCATTCAGTCTGATAACTGCCGTTCCGTTGTCTGAGTTTTCGAATATTCTTACTTCATATTCAGACTGTTCGAAAGTGGGAGCATTATCATTCACGTCCAGCACTGTGACCAGCAGCTGAACAGTGCCTGTGAGCTCGGGTTTGCCCCCATCTGTGGCTGTCAGAAATAAGTTGTGTGCAGGAGCGTCCTCTCTGTCCAAAGACTTCCTTAATATGAGCCCGATTTGTTTATTGTCATCACTGTTTATTTTCACATCTAGCCCGAAGTATTCGCTGAAACTGAGTTTATAGGTTAAGATAGAATTTGAGCCAACATCTGCATCTGACGCGCCCTCCAGTGGAAACAGAGAATCTGGCAGCCTAGATTCATAAATCAGCACTCTTTGTTCCTCTACCGGGAACAAGGGCGCGTTGTCGTTAATGTCTTTCACCTCCACGTCCACATGGAAAACCTGCAGCGGCCTGTCCACGATCACCTCCAGGTGGATGCTGCACTCCGCGCTCCGCCCGCACAGCTCCTCGCGGTCAATCCGAGAATTCACAAACAAAATGCCATTCTGCAGATTTACCTCCAGAAGGTCCCCGCGGTCTTTGGATGCCACCCGGAACAGGCGCGGTACCAGCTCCGCCAACTCCAGCCCCAGGTCCTGCGCGATGCGGCCAACGAAGGTGCCGTGTTTGGCCTCCTCGGAGACGGAGTAGTGGAGCTGACCGCTCCCCACCTTCCAAGCTGCGAGGAGCAGAAGCGGGAGGAGCAGACATTGTTTTCCCAATCTGTCGTCCGGAGTAAACACCATGTCAAATACCTCTTGTTTTATCTCCATTAGAAGATCTTTCGCATAAAGATAAAACACTGTATGTTCCCAAATTCATTAATCCATTTCTTCTGCGTCAGCCATTATTCAACAGTCAGGGAATGATGCAGTAATAGAAGAAATTTGAATGTTGGCTAGCTATAACTTCGTGGTAAACAGCGACATCATGCGGCTCCAAAAGGTAAGAAATTAATTCACATAGCAGCGCTATACTGTATATTTTTTTAAACTGTATCTTCTTTTCTCTACTTTTACAGAAAATCCTCCTCATGTTTTTGATTTGCACAGTGTTATCCCGACTTCTTTTATTAATTTAGAATAAGTGATTTAATTATTCACAGCTAACCAACTTTTCTACCAATATTTGCAACATTAGTATTAACCAGTTTAACAAATTTAAGTGTTAACAGAATTGCTCTTGGAAATCGGAAATGTGAACTATCCTACACACTTTGGTAGAAAAGAAACTTGTCCACATATGTATGTCATAGGACATGCTATTATATATTGCTCTGGGGGAAAATGTAACTTAAAATTATCAATTTTTGGTTGAATTTTTAAAGGCTTATAGATTATTGAAGTCCATGCTTCCTTTGTTCGATAAACATCAGATTCTCTTAAGGTTCTTTTGTGTAATGATGGAAGATAAAATTCTAGAGCATATTCTTTATCACATTTAATTTATATGCCCCTTACATTAGGACTCTTGCTTAAAATACTTTCTTTTCATAGACTTCGACACTTCAAATGGTACTGGAATTACTACCCATTGTCCTTTGCTGTTTTTGATTCTTCAGCTGTCCTTAAATGATCTCATTCTTTTCTCTCAACTTCAGCCCTGTCCTATATCCTTTCTTTTAACTGTTCTCATTTGCTTCCAAGTTTCAAACAAGACTTTTATTGAGGTATTTCCAAATCCATATCTTCATCCCTTCTTTCTATGTTTCTAGTTACCACTTTCACCTATACATGCTGACTCTCAGAAAACAATTTGTTAAATATCAAAGCATGACCAATTATTATTATTTTTAATGAATGAGAGGTTCTTATGTTGCCCAGGCCTCAAACACATAGTCTCGCCTCTTCAAGTGCCAGGACAACTGGCCTGAGCCACCATGGCTCCCAGCATGACCAATTATTAATAATCCCCAAATTCAAATTTTTAATTCATATTTTTAATGACATTAGCATTTCCCACAACATGTATATTACTTTTTAAATTACTTCTTTTCTTGGGCTTGCCTTATTCCGCATCTGCCTAAATCCATCTGTCTTTCACATACTATCATATTTATCTTTATGAGTACAGTTTTCATTGAATTTTACTAAACCTAGAAATTCTAAGACATTTGAGAAACTTCTAGTAACCTAATACATAATCACATATTAGGTGATCAATTTTCGAAAGTTCTTTTCAATTACTCTCCAATGTGACTCTTAATTTTCTGACAACATAGACCACTTGCCCTTCCTCTTTCCCAATACCGTCCGTGTTTGTTTTAGCTGGGTTTTAAAATTACATCTACATTTACCTGCAAAAATGTTATCCTCATATAAAAGTCAAGGCCAAATATCAAATCAGCCCCACCCTTAATTTATCCTTAATGTTATCCATTGGAAGTGATTAAACCCCTCCTTGAAAGGAGAAAATTAGGGTCACCAATAAGACTTTTCAATGACATGATCATCTTCACCTCCCTCCAAAATTCTGAAATACAGTAAAATGCATCACAGACGATTGTAACACAAAACCTTCACTTCTATGTGAAATTTTGTCTTAAAATAATTAACCTAGATCTATTTAGTATTCCTTATCACTGACTTTCTATTGCAGTTATTTTGGGCAAAGGGTTCAATTTCCTAACCAGTCACAACCCCTAAAACAAGGCGGTTCCTATAAAAAAAGATCAGCTGCGCAAAATACACAAAGACTTGATATATAAGGAGATCCATAGTTTCTATCTCAGAATAACCTAACTTGATTTTTAAAATGTTGACCATTGTTACCTATAGATTTACAGGGTGACAAGAACGGTTTCTCAATTTCTAGGACTTCCTCAAAGTAACTAAGGACGTGAGGAATATATAAATAGTATGATAGATGGGTACTTATAGAATTACATGCATATGAGAATAAAAGAGACAGGCAAAGCAATAGAAATAGGGAATTCACATTTTATCATGTGAAATGTCGACTATTTTTACCTGATAAACCCACAATTCCCCCCCAAACCCAGAGTAGAAAAATGGTTCTCATTATTTCAGATGGAGAGGACACTTTGTCTAGAGTATTCTCAAACATACAGCTTTAATAAACAACTCTTTGTAAGCAACAGACTCAAGAGGGGAGTTTGTATCATGGTATATTTATGTTTTTAATCTGAAAATGTAACAACAAGCAGTAAAATTTTTCAACCAAAATTTAGTAGAATTCGCACAACTGAGGGGGTTCACAAGTACTCCTCATCAATATAGTAATTTAGGACAGGCGCGGTGGCTCACACCTGTAATCCCAGCACTTTTGGAGGCTGAAGTGGGTGGATAACCTAAGATCAGGAGTTCAAGACCAACATGGTCAAACACAGTCTCTAGTAAATACAAAAAATTAGCCAGATGTGGAGGCTCGTGCCTGTAATCCCAGCTACTTAGGAGGATGAGGCAGGAGAATCACTTGAAAACAGGAGGCTGAGGTTGCGGTGAGCCGAGATTGCACCATTGCACTCCAGTTTGGGCAACAAGAGCAAAACTCCATCTCAAAATCATTTTTTATATATATATATATTTTATAAATTGAAAAACATGCAAGTTTCAAGAACATTAAATCATTGCTCCACTAAATGTTAATGTTAAGATGAGGGAAAAATAAGCAATCATATATCTAAACAATGGAACACCATAGATCTAGATAAGAGAAAAATAAATCTACCTCAGTAATGATAACTCATGATCATCAAGATATATTAGCAAGTGAAAAAAGCAAGATTAAAAGTAATACTCATATGTTTTTTTAAAGGGGCAAGGAAGTTTATTTGTATATAAAAAATCTCTCTAGTAGCATACCCAAGAATGTTTTGGCTTCATGAAGAAGGTGAAAAGGACAATTTAACTGCATTCTTTTGCACTTCTAAAACAGTAAACTATGTATATGTGTTTCCTATTCAAAAAATGAAAACTCATTAAGTTTTTTAATTGCAATTATCAAATTCATCATGGGTATACAAGGTGAACTGCTTAGGCAAAGTTGAAATAAACCACATGCTGCAAAAATATAACCGAAAAAAGAAACTAAATTAGTTAAATAAAAATAGTTAATTTAAATTCAACAGAAACAAAAGGCAAAATTAGAAGAGTAGTGTTAAAATGCTTTTATAGACCCAGGTACTCTGGCTCAATTCTGTAATCTTAGTACTTTGGGAGGCTGAGATGGCAGGATGGCTTGAGACTGGGAGTTCAAGAACAGCCTGGGCAAAGTAGCAAGACCCCTATCTCTGGAAAAAAAAACAACAAAACTCTAGTTAACATGTGCATGTAGTCCAGCTAGCTACTTGGGAGGCTGAGACAGGAGGATTACTTGAGCCCAGAAGTTTCAGGCTTCAGTGAGCTACAGTCAGGCCACTGCTGTCTGAGCAACAAAAGGTCTCTAAAAAAATAATAAACTGAGACTTTGAGAATGACTCCAACTATGTCTTATAATTATTTTCCTACATATTTAGAGATTCAAAATTCAAATGCTAATATAAAATATAATTTTTAAAATAATATCACAGAAAGCTGATGAATCTGTTGCTCCAACAGAAAAGCCTCATAAAAGCATATAGTACACGAATTAGCACAATAATTATATACTACAATATTTATGTACTAAGGCATAATTTTTAAAAAACAAAAGAAAATGTGGGACTGTGATATTTAATATTTAAAAATTGGGAAGGAAAGTGGGATGTTAATATTAGAAAACTCACGTTTTCTGTAGAGGTGGGATCCTGAGGAAGGCTTGGACTGAAGGCCATGAGGTCAGTCTTGGGTGGGCCTTCCCCAGAGCACACCCTCTGCCTCCTCTGCTGCGAGTACGACCAGCTCCCCACCGCACTGGAGCACACTAGCGTGGGCTTGTCCCGTGTACACACGACCTCAGTGGGTGGCGCCGAGCACCGAAATGCGGTGTACAGCAGCAGCGTGAGTACCAGCAGGCTGGACACCGCGCAGATGGCGATGATCAGATACACGTTCACATCCACCAGCGCAGCCTCGGGACCCACAGCTCCCTCGGACGCCCGTGATGAGGCTTTCTGTGCCTGGCCACTTTCCACTAGCGACACCAGCACTGTTGCTGTGGCTGTCAGCGCAGGCTCTCCATGGTCCTTCACCAGCACCAGAAGGTGGTGGCGAGGTGCTTCGGTCTCATCCAGAGGGCGTGCTGTGCTGATCTCACCGGTGTACAGCCCCACGCGGAACGGAATCCGCGCACTGCCAGACGGGGGCTGCAGCTCATACGAAAGCCAAGCGTTATAGCCTGAGTCGGGGTCCACTGCGCGCACCTTCGCCACCACGTGGCCCGCACCCACTGACCGCGGTACCAGCTCGCTCACTACGCCGCCAATGCCACCCACCCGAGGCGCCAGCACTGCCGGCGCGTTATCGTTCTCGTCCAGCACGAACACCTGCAGCGTCACGTTGCTGCCCAGAGGCGGCACGCCCGCGTCGTGCGCGCTCACCTGGAACTGCAGCAGCTCCAGCTCCTCGTGGTCCAGCGGCTGCAGCGCGTACACCTTGCCGCTCTCCGCGTGCACCGACACGTAGCTCGACAGCGCGCGATCGCCCACCCGCCGCTCCACCAGCGAGTAGGACACCAGCGCGTTCTCCTGCGCGTCCGCGTCCTGCGACGACACAGTGAAGATGTGGCAGCCCGGCGGGTTGTTCTCCTTCACGAACACCGTGTACTCGGGCTGCGCGAACTCCGGCGCATTGTCGTTCACGTCGGCCACCTCCACGGACACGCTGGCCGTGGCCCACAGCGAAGGCGAGCCTCCGTCCCGCGCGGTCACCACCAGCTCATAGGTCGACACGCTCTCGCGATCCAGGGCGCTGTCCAGCACCAATAAGTAGTAATTCTTGTAGGTGGACACCAGTTTGAAGGGCACGTGGGGCATTAGGGAGCAGGTCACCTGCCCGTTGGCACCTGAGTCACGGTCAGACACGGTGATAAGAGCAATGACCGTGCTGAGTGGAGCGTCCTCTTTGACAGGCAGGAAAAGGGAGGTTATGGCCATCTCTGGGGTATTATCATTCACATCCAGGAGTTTCACTACTACTTTACAGTGTCCTGTTAATGGAAATGCACTTTTATCCGTGGCATCAATATTAATTTCATATGAGTTACGGTCTTCATAATCCAGTTCCTCCTTAACTTTTATTTCACCGGTATTGGAATTAATTATAAATTTAGACTTTACATCGTCAAGAACAAGATTACTAAAGAAATACACTATTTCCTTATTGATGCCCTCATCTGCATCTGAGGCGTTCAGTTTAATAACTAATGTCCCACGTGGTGCATTTTCCAACAATCTGACATTATAAATTGATTTATCAAATTCCGGGGCGTTATCATTCGCATCCAATACGTTGATCAACAACTGAACTGTACCTGTTAGTTCAGGTTTTCCTCTATCAGTTGCAATCACTAATAAACGATGTTCTTGTGTTTCTTCTCTATCTAAAGACTTCCTCAAAACTAGCTCTAAAAAGTTCGTTTCTTCTTCATTCGTTTTAACATCTAAGTCAAAATACTCATTAGGATTTAACCTGTATCTCAATTGGGCATTTGCTCCGATATCCAAATCCGACGCGCCCTCTACCGGAAACCGCGATTCTGGCATTCTTGACTCTAAAATGAACAGTCTTTGTTCTTGTCTGGAGAACCTGGGCGGATTGTCATTAATGTCCTTCACTTCCACGTCCACATGGAAAACCTGCAGCGGCCTGTCCACGATCACCTCCAGGTGGATGCTGCACTCCGCGCTCCGCCCGCACAGCTCCTCGCGATCGATCCGAGAATTTACAAACAAAATGCCATTCTGCAGATTTACCTCCAGAAGGTCCCCGTGTGTCTTGGACGCCACCCGGAACAGGCGCGGCACCAGCTCCGCCAGCTCCAGCCCCAGGTCCTGCGCGATGCGGCCCACGAAGGTGCCGTGTTTTGCTTCCTCCGGGATCGAGTAATGGAGCTGGCCGCTCCCTGCCTTCCAGTAGGTGAGAAGCCAGAGCAGCAGGAGCGGGGATCCCAGACTTCCTCTCCGGGAATATAACATCGCAATCTCCTTCCAATTATCAGCTCTCTATCGCATCACCACACGATGTATTTTGTAAATTTAAATTCCCAATTAACTATATATTTTTTAGGTTCTCACCTTTTTGAGCTTCTTGGCAGAGCCAAATGGAAGGTCCTTTTCCTTTCTGTCTAAGGAAAATGTACTCACTGTATTCCTGTGAGGTTGGGAAGGGAGAAAAACTTTGCGGTGTCCAGCGACATCATGTGGATGAAAGGGTAAGTGTTTTACTTTGTTTTGCTTTATTTATACTCGTCAAATATTTCTCAAATAGTCTCACTTTCATAGACACGATTCTTATCATTCTTTAAATCACTTATCTCTAACCAAAATATATCATTAAAATCTATCTTAAAATGTGTCAATATAAATACATCATTAAAATATTACAGAAAAATACATCTAAATTCATGAAACCCAAATCCTTACTAAAGAAATTTGTATTGGTGTATTTTATATAGTGAGGAGTTTATATATTTTCAAACTGATAAAAACAACTTTTAAGAGTTAAAGTTTTGACTTCTCTCATCTGTATTTAAATATATATAATAAAATTTTTTTAGTTTTTCTGTAGTAGTCAATGGAATATTTGTATGCTATCTCCATGTTATTCATAAAACAAATTTTTATTCCAATTTTCAGTGTTCAGTAATGACATTTTGTTGATGTTACTTTCAAAACAACTAAAACTATTTTAATGGCATTCTCACCTGAGTTTCTTCTTGGAAGTCTAATTTTCAAATCGGTGAAAACCTATTTCTTTATAACACCTATCTACTTTTTTTATTGACTCAAAAACTGTAATGGGGTATTTCAACTTTCTAGAAATCTTCAAATTAGAAGCATTTAGATAGCATTTCTTCAAGTTGCTATTACTGATAAAGCAGTTATTAAAAATTGTAAAAATCACAAATCTTTGCACTTACATGGCGAGTCAAAATCCTGTTAGCTATATGACATACTATTCCACAAAATGTTTATGTTCCAGTAAAAATAATTATATTGAAAAGAATAGCATTTTATTAACCAGGCTGCCTTTATATTGGTTTCATTACTTTTTAATCTCTCAATTGTTTACTGGATGGTATCATTTGAATGCAACCTAGTAAATACAGTGAACTTCACTTAATAAATACGGGCGAAAGTAAATATGCCAAGTTTTCTATTGAAGAAATAGCTAACATTTTGCTTGTATATATACTCCATAAAATTACTTAAATATTACAAAATATCTCTTACCTGTGAAGACAAGAGAGACCAAGAGATCAACAATTCCATTGCTTCATACTTTTACATTTAAAATATAACTTGATAAGAAAAAAATTGCCAGAAAATTCAAAGTCAGTGGAAATTCACTTGATTTCTGGAGTTCTAAGTTGTAAAGAAATAAGATATTGTCATAGAATTGCTTCTGATACAATCTTTAAAGGTGTATTGACCATTTCCCTTATAAGATTTTTACTATCTCTACTATCATGGCTTTGCACCAATATTTGGATCACTGAAACTAGACTATTTGCCCATTTCCAAGTCTATTTCCAATAGACTATTTCCAAGACTATTTGCCTAATAGATTTCATGCTAATTTTTAAATATTTTAATACACAATGGTAAAAACATCAAGAAAATATAATATTTAGAAAATAGCATTAGCTGATGTTAGCCACTTTCTATTATATCACAGTAAATAATGTAAAACTATGAAACTATGGCATCAATTATAAAATTTTATGCAAAATGCACAAAGATAGCCTTTAAAAAAAGTAAATACTAAGTATTTAAAAGTCAAATTAACAGTGTAATATTAAGAATGTGTGCAATGTAATCTGCAAAGTATTATAATACTGAGGGTTTTTTTTGTTTTGTTTTGTTTTTTGAGACAGAGTCCCACTCGGATGCGCAGGCTGGAGTGCAGTGGCTCAGTCTCAGCTCACTGCAATCTCCACCTCCCGGGTTCAAGCAATTCTCCTGCCTCAGCCTTCCGAGTAGCTGGGATTACAGGTGTGTTACACCAGCCCGGCTAAGTTTTGTATTTTTAGTACAGACAGGGTTTCACCATGTTGGTCAGGCTGATCTCAAACTCCTGATCTCGTGATCTGCCTGCCTCGGCCTCCCAGAGTACTGGGATTACAGGCATGAGCCATCGTGTCCAGACCTAAATACTGAATATTTTAAAAGAGATACTCAATGGAGAAAAAGTCATTAACAAAATCAGTTCACATGGCCCTCTCAGTCTGGAAAAAATATCTCATATAATTATACGGATATTTTGGGAGAAAACAAAACTTGACATTTGATTCATCTTGACATCTGTTAAATTATATTTACTTTTTAAATTATCACTTGTATTTGTCTTACAGTGATCAACTCTTATTTTAAATACTCCTTTCTCAATAACTATAGATCAACCTGAATTCCACGGGAGACTCCACAGGAAAATAACATTTTCTAAAATCTTCTTCCAAGTCATTTTTTTCAGTCAAATATTATAGATTATTTTTGATCCAGTTAATCTCTCCTTTAGATATTTCAGTCATGTTTAAGCACCATTGTGTAAATAGAACTTCTTCCCTGAGAAAAAAATTTAGATTTAAAACTGTGTAGTGTTTTAAAGTGTCTCCATTTAATTCACTAAAAACCTTTAGAAATACAGTAACAGGCCGGGCGCGGTGGCTCAAGCCTGTAATCCCAGCACTTTGGGAGGCCGAAGCGGGTGGATCACAAGGTCAAGAGATCGAGACCATTCTGGTCAACGTGGTGAAACCCCGTCTCTACTAAAAATACAAAAAAATTAGCTGGCCATGGTGGTGCGTGCCTGTAATCCCAGCTACTCAGGAGGCTGAGGCAGGAGAATTGCCTAAACCCAGGAGGCGGAGGTTGCGGTGAGCTGAGATTGTGCCATTGCACTCCAGCCTGGGTAACAAGAGCGAAACTCCGTCTCAAAAAAATAAAAAAATAAAGAAATACAGTAACATTATAAAATGTAACCTTCATAAGGATATAAATATCTTTTATGCTTCACAAAACCCAGAATAAAATTTTAATAAGCTATAATCTTTATTCATGTATCTGTAGAAATTATATAGACATGCCAGATCGCAAAGAAGAGGTAATGTTGAAGCAATTGTATACAAATGTATAATAATTTATGCACATGTCACTTGATCCTTCAAAAATTAATTCTATAGGAAAATTAATTCTACTATAAGGATAGTAAGAAAGGATACCACGTACATATAACACACATCTTAGCATGGACTGTGTAATGATTCACAGAGAAAGGTATAACTGCCTTATAAAGGACTGTGCTAATATATCCATATTATATATCTTCTTTGGATAGAAAATATGAGAAGAGTTCTAGCATATCTCTGAGACAGTGAAAAATTAAATTAATCATTTTTATGCGATTAGATTGCATTGATTAATGTCAAATGATCTCACTTAGTGGAAAGGGACAGTGAAGCCAAATTCAAGAGATGTAATCTCAGGGATCTTTTTTTATGCCTCTAGCTATAGTTGATTTTATATACAACTGGCTGACGAAGAGTCTCACTCTCACCCAGGCTGGAGTGCAGTGGTACAACCAAGGTTCACTGCAGCCTCAGGCTCAAGTTATCATCCAACTTCAGCCTCCCAAGTAGCTGGGACCACAGGTGTGCACCACCAATCTAGCTTTTTTTTTTTATTTAATTTTTTTGTAAAGATGGAGTTTCCCGATAATGTTCAGGTTTATCTTGAAATCCTGGGTTCAAGTAATCCTCCCATCATGGCCCACAAAAGTGGTGGGATTACAGGCATGAGCCACCAGACCTAGCTTGATTCATCATTAAATGGAGAAAAATGATAATCTCTCAGGTTATATCTAATTTTAAAATCCAAGATCAAGTGATTGAAAATTTGGTGGGAGGAAAGTTTCTTTTAAAATCAGCCAGTACCCAAGTTAGAAATCTATTTTTAAAAAGAAAAATAAAATTCTAAAACTGAAAAGTGCCATGATCGAAGTTAATAATTCAATTGATGATTTTGACAGTGGCCTGAAATAACAAGATAAAATTCCTAAAGTAAAAGATGGGTCAGAATAAAATACAAACAATGAAACAAAGAAAAAAAGTGATTTTAAAACAGAAATGCCATATAAAAGGCAAGGGATATAGTGAAAAGATTTAACATACATGTACTTATAGTCACAGAAGAATAGGAGAGAAAATATGAAGTAGCAGTAGTATTTGAAGGCATACTGCTAAATCTTCTCTTAAACTGATAAAATATATCAACCCACAGATATAAGAAGCTTTGAAAACTGCAAGCCAGATTAAAATCAAACCAAACTAATACTGGGCATATAATAATAAAGCTGTTAAAAATAAAAATTTAAAAAAAAAACAGAGAAAGTATAGAGTTTCTAGAGAGAAAAAAAAGACATACTAATTGAACAATTAACTTGACAACCATCATCTCAAAAGAAGACCATGGAATGTCATCTTAAAAGTGCTGGCAAAAGTAACTTCCATTCAATACCCAAAACTATTTCTCAAAAGTGATAGTAAAATTAAGACATTTCCATATATATATAAACTTAAAGGTTTCTTTACCAGCAGGCCACTCTAAAGGAAATATTAATTTCTTCACAAGGAAAATGATTCCAGAAAGAAATGTAAATGGGTGTTAACTGTATTAACAATAGGTATTAACAAAACAATGATAATAATGTATCGTGTGTCTAGAATATATAAATAATTGAAAGGCATATCAGTAAAAAAAAAAGGAGAGTACAAGTAAATGGTGTAATTATTCAAGGTCTTAGCATTGTCTGGAAGTAGTAAAAGTATTGATTTAATTGAAATAATAAGTCAAGGATGTGTGTTATAATCAGTAAAAGAGGAAATCGATAAAATAATTTGTAAAAGCATATATAACCTAAAACAATATCAGAGGTAGTGACATCAGCAAGATGCTGTTACAGGAATTCCCAGACCCTC